AGAATTTAAAAAAAAAAAAAAAAAAAAAAAAAAAACCTCATACTTATTGCTCCGATTCTTAACCGACCCTAATCGTTCACAAATTTTAATACTCTGATTTTCATTAAACTATCACTACAACAAATTCACACCCACACGCAGCCAACACGTTGCGACAATTCATTGTAAGAATTTGCAGAGACATAGGTGTCTGTGTGTTTATTGGTTATTTCTCTTTAATTTAAAAAGAGAAAGAAATTAGACAGAAAGAATGCAATGATTTACTTTTTCTGAAATCTGGAACTGCATTTGGTGCGTTTACACACATTCAAATTTGGGATGTGTATTTCAATTGTTACGATTAGTTGACTACGTTAATGGATACATTCTCCGAAAATTCTTCCCATTTATTTTGTTATGATTAGTTGACTACGTAAATGGATAAATAATAAATTAGAGTAATGATACATTCTCCATGTATTTATATATATGTATCAGTATTCATTGCATCATTCTAGTATCCTGGTTAGTGGTAAATCCTTTATACTACTAGAATGAGAGAACCAACAGCACTATGTCGAACCTCCTTCACCTGCGATTGGACATACGACGTGTTCCTGAGCTTCAGAGGGGTGGACACCCGCAAGAGCTTCACGGGTAATCTCTACAACTCTCTCTGCCAAAAGGGTATCCAAACCTTCATAGACGAAGGACTCAACAGAGGAGAAGAGATCATGCCAGCTCTTGGGCAAGCCATTAGAGAGTCAAGGATCTTCATTGCTGTCTTCTCTGAGAACTATGCCTCCTCAACGCACTGTTTGAACGAGCTTGTTACCATCATGGAGTGCTTGGAGGAACGGGGAGGACGCTTGTTTTGGCCGGTGTTCTATGGAGTGGATCCGTCGCAGGTTAGATACCAAAGTGGGAGTTATGCAGAAGCTTTGGAAAACCATGAGAATGATGACAAGGTCATGAAATGGAGAGAGGCTTTGTCTCGAGCTGCTAATATGGCTGGCTGGCATTTCCAACATGGGTATCTCACACCATCACTTTTGCTTCAAATCTATGTTGATTGTTCATTTTGTATTAAGACTTTAATTTTTATGTATCACTTTTATATTGTAAGTCAATTATAAATTATCTAAATATGATTGTTTAACTTCAAAGTAATTATTACTTAAGTCAACAGTTTTATCTTGCATGATAATCTATGATTTAATGCTAGTGTAAAACACTTTTGCAGTGTTTGTGCATTCTAATTAAATTCTCGTAATAATTGCCTTTTTATTTTAAAAAAAAAATAGATTAATTAAATTAAGGCAGAGTTGCTTTAAAATTGTATCTAAAGTGATTTCTAATACACCAATACTATATCAAAATTAAACTAAAGGCATGTTTAGATTCAAATTTAGATGTTAATTTTTTTAGAGTTTCTATATTAAAAATAAAGATTTTTTCTAGTAAAAAAACACTCAAATAGTTTTAAGAAGTTTGTATCTAAATAGACTTAAGTTTTAGATGATGTGAATGAAAAGAAAAACACCAATAAAATGCTTCAGTTTCACTTTCACATGTTGCAGATCACAATCAGAATCCAAGTTTATTAACAAGATTGTTAAAGAGGTATCTAAACGGATCAATCGCAGTCTTCTACATGTAGCTGACAACCCAGTTGGCCTTGAGTCTCCAGTGCTGCAAGTGACATCTCTCCTCGGACAAGGCTCTGAAGAAGGAGTTAGCATGGTGGGCATTTACGGCACCGGTGGAATAGGTAAATCATCAATTGCTCGTGCTGTGTGCAACTTGCTAGCTTTTCAGTTTGAAGGTTTGTGTTTTCTTTCCAACATAAGAGAAAGGGCCAACAACCACGATCTTGCACAACTTCAAGAAACATTACTTGCTGAAACACTTGGGGAGAAAGATATCAAAGTGGGGGATGTTAACAGAGGAATTCCAATAATAAAAAAGAGGCTCCACGGTAAAAAGATCCTTTTGATTCTTGATGATGTTGACAAGGTGAAGCAGTTAAAGGTACTTGCAGGGGGGCGTGATTGGTTTGGCTCTGGCAGCAAGGTCATAATCACAACAAGAGACAAGCATTTGTTGTGCACTCATGGGGTTGTTAAATCATATGAAGTTAAAGAGTTGAATGATGAAAAAGCCCTTGAATTGTTTAGTTGGCATGCCTTCAGAAGTAACAAAATTGATCCGGGTTATGCACATGTTTCAAAACGGGCAATTTCCTATGCTCATGGTCTTCCATTGGCTTTGGAGGTAATAGGTTCTCACTTGTTTGGCAAAAGTTTACATGTGTGGACATCTGCATTAGATAAATATGAAAGAATCATTCATAAAGAGATCCATGAAACACTTAAAGTTAGCTATGATAACTTGGAAGAAGAAGAGAAGGGAATTTTTCTCGACATTGCTTGTTTCTTCAATTCTTTCGAGATTGGCAATGTCAAAGAAATGCTAAACTTGCATGGTTTTCATGCGGAAAATGGTATTCAGGTGCTGACTGACAAATCTCTCATGAAAATTGATGGCAATGGCTGTGTGAGAATGCATGATCTAATTCAAGATATGGGAAGAGAAATTGTGAGGCAGGAATCATCTGAGCCTGGCAGACGCAGTAGATTGTGGTTTAACCAGGATATTGTTCATGTTTTGGAGGAAAATACGGTATGTTACAAACATCTACATGGTATTTTTTTTCTCTTTGCTTTCCTTTTTCTCCCTGGTCTCATTTTCAAATGTTTGATGAAACTTGTTACTATAAGCAGAAAAGAACATTATGATTGTAAATTTCTCCAATCTTAAACTTTACACTCTTTAAATTATGATTTGGAATTGAAAGGGAACTGATGCAATTGAAGTCATAGTCCTGGACTTGAGTAAAGACAAAAAAGTGCAGTGGAGCGGAAAAGCTTTCAGCCAGATGAAAAACTTGAAAATTCTCATAATCAGAAATGCACACTTTACTAGAGGCCCTAAAAATCTGCCTAATAGTCTGAGAGTGCTATACTGGAGTGGATATCCATCACCATCATTACCATCTAACTTTAATCCCAAGAATCTTGTTATTCTCAGCCTGCCTGAAAGTTGCCTTAAGTCATTCAAATCACTCAAGGCAAGTATTTTTTCAAAACACTTGTAATAGCAAATTTTGTTGGCCATATGCACTAACATGTATGTCCTATTGAAAACTCGTAATCTGAGGCATTGGCTTTTGTTTTGTAGGTGTTTGAGTCATTGAGCTCACTGGATTTTGAAGGCTGCAAGTTCTTAACTGAACTGCCTAGCTTATCTGGAGTACCAAATTTGACGATATTGTCTCTTAATAACTGCACTGATTTAATTAGAATTCATAGTTCAGTTGGATTTCTTGATAAACTTAAGTTATTGAGAGCTCAAGGATGCACCCAGCTAGAAATTTTGGTACCATTCATCTACTTGACATCTCTAGAGACTCTAGATCTGAGGGATTGCTCACGTCTAAAGAGATTCCCAGAAGTGTTGAGAATGATGGAGAATATAAGAGAGGTTTACCTGGATCATACTAATATAGATGAACTGCCATTTTCGATTGGAAATTTTGTTGGGCTTCGACAATTGTTCTTGAGGGATTGCCAAAGGCTGAACCAGCTACCAAGTACTATTCATATATTGCCACAACTTGAGATATTTACGGCTTATGGTTGTGGTTGTAGGGGATATAGATTTAGATTACCTGAAGAAGAAGTGGAAAAAGTGGCCATGTGGCTTGAGATTTCGAATTTATGCTTTCTAGGGACTTTTATAGGCAGGTAAACTGGTAAAATCATCGATGGGTTTTTTTCTTCCGATTCCAAAAAAATTGTAAGTGTTCAAAAAACAAATCTCCTTTAAAATTTTAACATCTACTAAGATTGGATATCTAAAACTGTTGTACATCATCGGCCTCAATTTGGATGAGCTTGTATACCTAAATCTATCTATACTTGTGTTTTTGCTTATTTGGATGAGCTTTAAGTTGACTTTAATAGTTCAATGTTTCCAAGGTCAGTAAAAAATCACAAATAGGTTCCAGATTATCATAACTAATAAGGTCCTGACGCCTGGCTCAGTGAATACAACGAAAATGAAGCATAATAATCCAATACGACATTCTACGAACTACATATCAACTTGCAAAACAAAGCATACATACATGAGGTGCAAGAATGTACAACAATAAAATAAATGATAAGAAATGCATTAAAAAAAAATAGGTAAATGAATCACGCATGTCACACAATTTTATATCACTCTACCACCTTAGTCTTGGAGGAATTGTCAAATACACGTCCGAGATTACACCATGAGGCAATCAAATTTAAGAACTTAATTATGAAGAGTCACAACCAATTATGAAATGTTATTTTAAAAGAGGGGGGAGGGGGAGGACAATATGCACGTATCAGGATACAAGTCATTTATACGCATAAAATTGTAAAAATTAAAAGAATAATAATAATCTCTTTTAACACCTCTATACAGCTATTATAAAGTGATTACCGAAAGTCAACTGTCCAAAATAACAAGCTTAAGTATATTAATTTACCCTAGAGAATAATAAAAAGCCATAATAAAATATTTACAAGCAAAAGAAAATTAAAATATTTGGAAGTTAAAAATCATCAGACGAAATTATGTAATTTATTAGTTTAGAATTGAGTGAATATTTACACGAAAGGTAAAAAGAAATAAAAAAAAACATCTTTTAGTTACCTGATGAACTTTCCAATTTGACAAATTCTCAACTAAAACAAAGTCTATCATAACCTAAGTTTTTATCATTAACAGAAGAGGCAGCGATTCGGGTTCCCCCAAACTTTTGGAGCAATTCAATAGCAAATGGAAAAAAGTAAAAAATAATTAGCATCAAGTTATTGTTGACCATCAACTTCAACCGACTATCTAGAGTTCTTTACGATTCAATGCAGTTCAGCAATTTTTGGGCCTAATGCTCTTTAATCAAATAAGATGCTGTTTAATATTTCATTCATCCCCCAAAAGTTACCCACGGTGCAACCAAAAACAAATTGTTGATATATTAATATTACATCAGTTGAAAAATGAAAACTTCCATGTATGATAATATGCAACACTGTAAAAATATGTATATGAACAGAAGTTCACCTACCTGTTTCTAAAATTTCTATCCCATTATAAATTTTGAGGAACAAATACTAAATAAATTGGATCACCACTGCTCTATAAAGCTGCTGCTACAAAATTCTCAAGGCATATACATACACTGATGTACGTTCAGAGTCAATGAGTCATACTCTACCGAACCACTTCGAAGTGGAATGAAGGAAATAATGAGCCAGACAAATGATTGGCAGAAGTGGAACATGCAGATGATACAGCCTTCCCCCTTCATTTTGCCATGGAGGCAGTAAATAACACTAGAGTCGAGTTTGAGCTGAAGATTGTGCCAAGAGGAAAGAAAAAAGAGTGATGCTTCAAAGAATAAAATGGTATTAATATTATTCTTATGCCATAACCTTTTCCATCTCAAGAGATACGGGGAATTGGCAGGATGCCTGAAAATTTAGATAAAGACATTAAACTATACAGTGCAAGAGGCCAAAATTAAACAATTAAGAAATGAATATGCTGCACTTACCAAGTTGATGAAATTAAAACGACTTTCCTCCATTATAATTGTCATTACCAAAAGCACCGAAACCACTACCACGTGAATCACCAAAGCTGCTGCTTTGGCTAGACTTTCTGTCACCAAATGCACCAGATTGACCTTGCCCAAAATCTCCAAAACTGCTATATCGATCTGAACTACCAAATCCTCTAAAACCACCTGGATGAGAATTTCCACCAGATTGAGCTCCTGCTTGACCTGAACCACCAAATCCTCCAAAACCATCTGGGTAAGAGTTTCCTCCAAATTGAGTTGCTGCTTGACCTGAACCAAAGCCATCATATCTACCCATTTCACCAGATGAATTACCAGAAGATCCTCCTAACTGACCTGAACCAGGGCCACCAAAAAGGCTAGAATTTGGTCCTCCAAACCTTCCCATCCCACTGGAATTTCCATAGTTAGATCGGCCAAATCCAGAGTTACTGTAACTCCCAGAACGGCTAAATCCAGGACTGCGACCAAAACCTGAACCTCTAGATTGACAATCCCTCATACCTCCAAAAGGGCCAAAATTGCCACCACCCATCCCACCAAACATCTCTGCTGATCCACTAGGAACATCAATCTTTGGTAGCTGATAAACACGAATATTGGAATAAGATGCAAGCAGTTAGTCATTAAACAAAATAAGAGTGACCTAGAATATAAGAAGCATAGATAGGCTAAAAGAAAAGTAAGAAACTCAAGGTATGAAAAAAAATACTTATAGCAGAAAGATTTGAACTTTCAGATATATGGGCACATGAAGAATTGTAAAACCACAGCCAACTTCAAAGATCAAAATTTCTAAGCATTATCAGTTTGATAAAGATTCAATTTTCTGTTAATCCAATTTGATTAAAAAGAGAATTCACAATATAAACTCCTGCTCCATTAGAAGTTATTGAAAATATGTTGGGTAAAGCCCTCAAAGATGTGCATAAAGAACTTCAGCCATTATCACAGATCATTTCCCATGAACTCAGTTTAGAACTTTAAGTTTTAACTTTTTAACATCTTACAACAAATACTTTCTGTTGACCTTTTACACTTTAAGTTAACGATTCAAGAACAACCTATAATTAACAGGTTTGAAACAAGCTTTTACTTTTATTTCAATATTAAATACTACTTAACCATAGAACAGCAGATGTATACCTCATGTAATTAAGCATTAAATTCATACAATTTTGTGATAATGAAATTTGCAATCTGCATTTCAGTAATCATAGAATCATGTGAGTGCAGTCTGCATTGCAATAATATCATATCCTAGTCCTTTACCAAAACTAAATGTCTGTTCCAAACACCATAATAATATCATTATATAATTTTGAGGTTTTTACGTCAGAATTTGCAGCTACATCCCTCCCTGCTTGATGTTACAAGTATCAGGCAAAGTAGACCCTAGACAGTAGACCATTGAACATGGATTCAGATGTACATACATTATCACACTCTGAACTCATCATGCACGAACTACCAAGATTAATGATTAGAACATAGATATAGAAGAGACAAGACTTGGTTAAGATTTTCAGCAACTTGAGTTTTATCAGTACTTAGCACCCAGTGGTAGTGAAAAACCTTAGCATATTAAACTATTAAAGACTTTCTTCTGTGATTCAGTCAGTCTAGTAACAAAATAGGGATATTCACCACAACAACAAAGTTCCCTAACATTGGGAGGTAGCACATTCAGTTTTCCCATAGGGGTGAGCTGGACTGGACTTATGGACAGAGAATAGGCTAACCATCATTTTGTAGTAACAGACTAGAATAATAAGGACAACTTCAAATAAGAAAGAAGGATGCAAATGAATAGGAAGCAAAGATCACCTCTGTAAATTTGCATCCAAAATCACGCTCAATAGTCTTCACAGCCCTGAATTGATCTTCTGAGTAAACAAGAATAGCAGCTCCTTTCTTCCCAGCACGGCCTGTTCGTCCAGATCGATGAACAAATATCTCTGATGAATTGGGAAGATCATAATGTATTACCTATGTCACGAAAACAAGTAAAAGATTTACTTTCAAACAAATTGAATAACAGTGTATGTCAATGTGTTTGCATATACACAGAATATATTACATGAAGGCACAAAAGATAAGAGTGAACAAGATTCAAAAAAGCAGATGTAGTGAAAAAGAGAAAGCAATACAGCAAAGTCAGATAATAGTTAAGAATTGAAGATAAGCATCTAGAAAGGAAACATTACCCCATAATTTCCTATTACACTCAAAATTTAGGGAAATCCAGATAATAAAATATCCTAAACATATTCAAGTTCTCCCACCAACCCCAGCCCCCCCACCCACACAAAAATTCTTTCAAAAACACAGCATCCAATTATAGAGTATCAAATATCTCAAACATATCAAGAACAGTAATAACACGGGAGGAACCACCATGTAGAAATTAAGAGTTGTTCTTGAACCTTAATCAACAAACAAGAAACAGAACATGATAACAACAATTTTAAATAAAAAGTTTAGCAAGACAAAACTCACGAGATCCACATTTGGAATATCAAGCCCTCGTGAAGCAACATCAGTTGCTACTAAAACATTAAAATTGTTGTTTCTGAAGCCAGCGAGAGTCCTTTCCCTCTGAGTTTGTGAAATATCTCCATGCAAGGCCTCACATCTAAGGCTTTTTGCCATGATATATGATAATCGATCAGCATCACGTTTGGTTTGGGTGAAAACAATACATTTTCCTCCATTCGCATGTTCCTAACCAAAGTATATACCATTAGGAAAGGAAAATTATGAGCCTTGTCTAAGGACCAAACAGACTCAATTGCAATCATTTTGGTATAAAATATAAAATATTAATAAGCTACTTATAACCAAATAGATATCACAATAGCAATCACTAATTATAGCTGATGCAAAAATAGAGCAAAGATTGTATCTGAATTCATACAGTTATCAGAGGTGCCAGAATTCCTGCTTTAGTGTATAGATCAGACACAATAGAGTACAGTGAAATTCCATCTGCCAACTTCTGATCCGAATCTCCAACCTGTGGCACCAATGAGTTCCCAATTAAATTACTACCAATGAACTATAGAATTCTGCACTTTAATCTCAAATATTTATTCATCCATACAAAATCATTGAAAAATGTGAACAAGAAAAAAATCAGCACAGTTCAGTTCCTTGTGCTAGATGTAAAGACAAGAACCAATAGCATTCATCATATTTACTTTGCACTATCATATTTAGAGAATCACATAATGTGATCACTGTTTAATTTTAATAACACCTCTTGGTCTTCTCGGCCTTAGTGTTATTCCATCATATGGTTCTTTAAAATTTGGTTGGCATTTTTGATCATGATTTTGGACTCTGAATTGGGATAATGAATGGTATCGTGTGATTTTGGTTGACCAATTCATGTTTTAGTTGCTGATCTGATGATTATGATTTGGATATTGTAATTCAAGTTCACAAAGTGTTTTTTGGCTGATCAATACCTATGATATGATAAATCAGTTTTTGGTATTGTTCTGAGCATATAAGGAAGTGTGCATAAGGCTTATACTTCTGGACATAACAATGTTGGATTGTTTTTGATGATGTCCAAAGGGGGAAAAAGGTTTTGTGCTTGGTTTGTTTTGCAGGTCTTGAATGTGAAGAAAAAAGGGCAAAGCAAAATGGACAAAATGGCTTGACTTAGCTTAGTTTGTCATCATCAAAAAGGGGGAGATTGTTGAGATTGGAGGAGATTGAGATTGTTGAGATCACCTCTGAAGATTAAAGGTTTTGATGATAACAAATGTGTGGAACAAAGCTGACCAAGGACATCAACAACTTAGAAGTCAAAAACAAAGTCAAAGAAAAATGTTACGTAATAGGAGTAGTTTATAGATTGCTTTGATTGAGCTTATTTGTTTTGTGTGTGTGCTTTGTGCTTTGGCTAATCTGTATCTAATCTGATTAGGAGTGTATGATGATGAGTTTAAAAAGTTAAGAAGTTATTTTGACAATTAAAATAAAGTTTTGAAAACTAACTCGAAATAATTGATTATTAAATATAATCGATTATTCCAGTAACAGGCAAAAAGGATGCCTTGCTGCAATAATCGATTATTTGTGAAATAATCAATTATCCCAGAAATGACTCTCTGGAATAATCGATTATCCAGCAAAATAATCGATTAAATTGTTCTTGGTTGATTTCCATAAATCATGAAGAACAAAATAATCGATTATTCTTTAAAATAATCGATTATCTGGTTCTGAAAAACTTATAAATAGTTTGACCATTTTGAAACTTTAGAACAGAGTTAGAATTGAGAATCAAAATTAGAAAAACGTGTTTGTGAAGTCTCTGTGACAATCTTGGAGAGTTTTCTTTGTGAATCCAAGAAGAAAAACGTTTTTGAAAAGATTTGAGAAAAGATCATCATCATCACATTCTTGAAAGGAAAGAGATTAAGATTTGCTTATGAATTCCAGGTGAATTCGTTCCTTAATTCTTTGTGAATACTTGTAAATCTTGAGTAGGTTTCTCAAGTGGTAAGGAATTCTTGTAGTGGGTTTCTACAAGGGGTGCTTTCTTGAGGTCAAGAAAGTGGTTATCTTGAATGTAGGAGTGTATGCATGTGTGGTATGCTTGTAAACCTTCTTCATTAAGATAGTGGAACAAATCTTGATCAGGTTATGATTGAGGAATGGATGTAGGTCACATGTGGAGTGGCTGAACTAGGATAAAAGACTTGTGCAATCTTCTCTTACCTTTATCTTTTACTTTGTGTAATATCTTGATTGTATATTGAAAAGATTGTTCTTGATTAAACATGTTTGCATGAACAACATTGGTTTGAACTGAGCATTACATATTGTTCTATTGGTTAATCAAGAAAGCATATAGGATTCATTATTCATTAACAAGTCTTTAAGAAACTTGATTGAAAATTCATTTTTAGAAAAGTTTAAATTGAAATAAAGATCCTAAAAACTCTGAAAATTTTTAAAGTATCATAGAATCCAATTCACCCCCTCTTGGATTGAGCCATTCTTTTCTAACAACCATTAATATTATTTGCGCAAAGGTTTGAATTCAACCTTGATTTAATATGAATTTTGCGAAGGTTCAAATTCGACCTTGGCTTATTATAAATCGTGCCAAGGTTCGAACTCAACCTTGGCTTAATATAAATCGTGCCAAGGTTCGAATTCGACCTTAGCTTAATATAAATCGTGCCAAGGTTCGAATTAGACCTTGGTTTAATATAAATCGTGCCAAGGGTCGAACTCGACCTTGGCTTATTATAAATCGTGCCAAGATTCAAATTCGACCTTCGCTTAATATAAATCGTCCCAAGGTTCGAATTCGACCTTGGCTTAATATAAATCGTGCCAAGGTTTGAATTAGACCTTGGCTTAATATAAATCGTGCGAAGGTTCGAATTCGACCTTGACTTAATGTGAATCGTGCCAAGGTTCGAATTCGACCTTGGCTCAATATAGGTTAGACAGCGTGAGATTGAAGAAGTATGAGTAAAGTGAGTCATTCTTATTGATGTTGTGGGTGTGCCTCGTTAAAAATCCTCTCAGCCAAAACCCATTTTTCTATGTTTTGGTAAAAAAGACTACGTAGGGAAAAGAGTGCAACGCCCCATTTTTACAACTTAGCTAAAATAGAATTTAAGGTGAGTGGCATTCCATGTTCTCGGGACGGTTTTTCCGTTGAGCTCCTTTAGTCGTATGCTCTATTTTCTAAGTCTTCGATAACTCAGAACGGGCCATCCCAATTAGGTGCGAGTTTTCCTTCTGATGGGTCTCTCCTCGCCTCACCTTGTAGTCGCCAGACGAGGTCTCCTGCTCGGAAGGCCCTCGGTCGGACCTTAGTGTTGTAGTGTCTAGAAGCGTGGAGTTTGCATGCTTCTTCTTGAATCCGAGCGTCTTCTTTGAGTTCGTCTATTAGGTCGAGGTTGGTTGTTGTTTCTTGAGTGTTTTGCTCACTTTCAAAGGTATGACGCCGATGAGACATCTCGCCAACCTCGACTGGGATCATGGCGTCGGCTCTATAGGTCAGCTTGTAAGGATTTTCTTGAGTTGTTGATTGAGGAGTGCAATGATATGCCCAGAGAATGCTGGGGAGCTCGTCAACCCATTGTCCCTTGGCGCTCCCTAGTCGCTTTTTGAGTTCTCGGAGTATGACCTTGTTCACAGCTTCGGCTTGGCCGTTGGTTTGGGGATGTTCTACCGAGATGGGGAGGTGCTTGATGCCGAGCTCTCGGAGGAAGCTCTCGAAGCTCTGTGCGATGAATTGCCTGCCATTATCGGTGATGAGAGAGTGCGAGATACCGAACCTGCAAATGATGTTCTTCCAGGTGAACTTTGCACGTTCTCGGTGGTGATTTTGGCGAGTGGGCAGGCCTTGATCCACTTGGTGAAGTAGTCGATGGCGACGAGGAGGAATTTTAGTTGGCCTTTCACGGGGGAAATGGTCCGAGGATGTCCATTCTCCACTAGGCAAAGGGCCATGGGGATGCCATTTTGTGGAGGACTTCGGGTGGCTACCGATGTGCATTACCGAATTGCTGGCATTCTTTGCACCTTTGTACGTAATCTTTGCAGTTTGACTTCAGTGTGGGCTAGTAATAGGCAGCCTGGGACTTGGTTAGGCATTTTAGCAGGGGAGCTGAGATGCCTCGTTTGAAAAGTTCACCTGCAATGATGACAAATTTAGATGATCTTACCCTCATCTTCCGAGCTTCGTCTTTGTCTTCGGGTAGTATCCCTTCCTTTAAGTAGTTCCATATGTCTGTCATCCATTCCTTGTCTTCAATGACATTGGTATTGACGACTTTGTCATCTAGACTGGGAGAGTTGAGGGTCTCTTAGATTATGGTCTGATGTTGCCTGGGGCGCTTTGTGTTGGTGAGCTTGGACAGGAGGTCGGCCCTAACATTCTTCTCTTAGGGTACATGATGTATGTTGAACTCCTCGAAGGATAAGACCTATTAGGACACTGTGTGATAGTGCCTCTGTAGTAGTGTGTCCTTTGTCTGGTAGGTCTCGTTGAGCTGTTCTACCATGAGTTTTGAGTCACTGTTGCAACTCACCCTTTGTGCTCCGATGTCTCGGGCCAGCCTCAATCCTACTAGTAGTGCTTTGTATTCTGCTTGGTTGTTGGTGATCTTGAACCTGAATTTTAGAGATTGTTCTATGGTGACGTTGTTTGTCCCTTCTAAAATGATACCTGCACCAACACCTTTAGTTTTGGAAGATCCATCAACATATAAAGTCCATACCTGCTCTTCTTCTACTAAGATTGGGGTGAGCTCGACCATAAAATCTGCTAGGCATTGGGCTTTCAAAGGGCCCCAATTTTCATATCAGATTCCAAACTTAGATAGCTCTACTGACCATGCAATCATGCGCCCTACGAGTTCTGGCTTTCTCAGTATTTGTTTGATTGGGTAATCCATTTTTACCACGACTTGGTGACTTTGGAAATAGGGCCGAAGACGTCGGGCCGAGGTGACCAATGCTAAGGCCAACTTCTCAATCGTTTGGTACCTCTTCTCTGTGTCTTGGACAACTCGACTAATGTAGTATATACGAGTTTGGTTTTTTTCGCACTCTTGTACCATAACCGCGCTGATTGCACTTTCACTGACTGCCAAATACAAAAGGAGGTCAGAGTGATGATTCGGCCTCTGTAGGACTGGTGGGGTGGCAAGGAAATCTTTGAAGCTTTTGAAAGCTTCTTCACATTGGTTAGTCCACTCAAAGTGCTTTGGCTTGCGTAGTAGGGTGAAAGATGGGTCCTGCTGTCTCCGCCAACCTGGGAATGAAATGAGAGAGAGAGAGTAACCTTCCTGCCAAGCGTTGGACATCCTTGACATTTTGGGGGCTATGCATCTGTATGATGGCTTTGCACTTTTCTGGGTTGGCTTCAATAGCCCTATGGGTGATCATGAAGCCGAGGAACTTACCTCCCTAGACCCCGAAAATGCACTTTTCGGGGTTTAAGCGCATGTTGTGTTTTCGTATCTGGTTGAACACCTCGGCTAGGTTAGCAACATGGGCGTCGACAGATGTGGTTTTCACGAC